CTCCCTCCCTCTCTGTAACAAAATCAATAAAATATATTTAAAAAAAAAAAAAAGAGTAAAGAGGGGCAAAGATATGGTGATGGAAGACGACCTGACTTGGAGTGGTGGGCACACAATGCAATATGCAGATCATGTATCACAGAAATGTAGACTTAAAACCTATATCTTATTAACTAATGTCACCCCAATAAATTTTTAAAAGAAAAACAGAAAAAAAGAAGAAAGATGTTAAACCTTAAAAAAAAAAAAAAGACTTCCTATCCTACAAAAATCCTGAAAAGTGATTTACAAGTCCTGGCTACCTGCTAGAAATGGGAGGGAAAATAGCAAAAGCAATCCCTAAATGATTATTGCCAAAATACAGCATCTTGTCACAGCTGTACCTCCGACTTCTGCTGGTCCAGGTCAGGATTTGGCTCCCTAAAATCTTCACTAATCCCCAGCCAGTGGCGCCCACCACCTCCTCAGGCAATGCTCACAGTAGTCTCTTCCTTTTAATTTACATGTTACCCTGGATCACAGATGCATCGAAAATAAATCCCAACTCCCATCTAGCATCCTTGGACCCACCCATTGGTCCACGAACACTAAATCTTATGATTTTCCTTCACATGGCCAGACAGGCTTCTTTCCCCATAGATCTTAAGCAGTCACACCATGTCTTCCTCACTACGCTTTCCTCAACCGGGAGCACCCTCCGTCCTTCCTTCTCGCCGGAATCCGTCTGCGTGGGGCACAAAAGCAACTGAGCCACTCAAGGAGACCTTCCTGGACTCCCCGGTGCACCAGACCGTTTCCTCGGCCGCCCCGCTCTTCTCGGACCGCCTGTCTCTCCGCGCACTCATCCCATTCGTCCTCAGAGGGCAGGGGCTGGGCAGAAGTCACTTCCGGCCCAGGACAGGCCCCGGAGTTTGCTAAATAACTGCTAACAAGGGTGTCGGGCCGCCGTGCCGAGCACCTACTAGGGGCCGGAACTGGTCAGCGCTGGGACGCAGTCTGCTCAAAGGAGCTTACAGTCTATTCGCTAATTCAAAAGCTGTCAATGCCGTGAAAAGCAAATAAGTGACCCGGACCCCGCCTCGCTCAGAGCCGAGGGAGCAGGAAGCGTCTACCATTGGCCTCAGTTTTCCCACCAAACAGCACCGCCTCTGCCTCCTGAGCTGCGACCAGCCCTCCCTTCCCCACGCGCTCTCGCGTACCCAAGTCCATTCAGACACACACTCCCAGTCCCGGCGTGCCCCGCGCCTCTTCGCGGCCCCGCCCCGCCGGCTGAGCATCCTCTTCCGGACAGGCCCCGAGGGCCCCGCTGCATGCCGGGAGTTGAAGTCTTCGCGGAGGCGGCGCGGCGCCGGGGCCAGCTCTCAGCGCGTGGCAGGAAGCGGAAGCGGCCTACGGCCTGCACCCGGTCCCGGCTCCGCCCCGCTCCACTCATCCCAGTGCTATCACTGACGTGTCTCTCGGCGGAGGTGCTGCACCCCGTTGCTGGCTGAGCCGCGGGCAGCGTCGCCTCGCGCGGAGCGGAGTGGAGCCTAAGCAGGACCCGGAGTGGAGCAGCCGCCGCCGCCATGGCGAGTGAGTCCCTGGGGGCAGCCCCGGTTGCGCCGGGATGGAACACAGTCCCCCTTTCCCCTCACCGGTCCGGGCAGGTGCCCGCCCACTAGGCCAGCCGGGATCCCAGGCCCTCGGGATTCCCACGAGTTCTGGTACTCGGTCTGCTCCCCTGCCCCCTGCCCCCTGCCCCAACACAAGCTGGGCGGAAGGCTTACCCGGGTAGCGCGAAAGGTTCTCCGAGCCCTAATTCTTCTTTTGTTTTTTCCGTCAAAGTCAAGTTTCTGGAAGTCATCAAACCCTTCTGTGTCATCTTGCCGGAAATCCAGAAGCCCGAGCGAAAGGTAAGTCCCCAATCGCTGTCAGGGAGGCTTCGTGGAACTCGGGATGCTTGAAGTTTACAGTACAATTAAATATGGCTTCAACACGCCAATGGAAACTCTCTCCCTCCTCTTCCCCCTGGAGGATAGTTGTATGCACTCCTGAGCTTTGTCGAAAGGTGACCTCCTCGTGTGGGAATTTCCACCCAAGTCATCGTGCTTTATTCGGAGCATCCTTTGTGGATGTTATTCAGGGAGCAGAGCCTCGAGTTTGCCCTGTGCCAAAAATTGACCCTGGCAGTGAATGAGTAAGGCCTCAAAAGCCCTGGGATCCTCAGGTTGGGCTACCCTTCCCTCTTCACCTCCAGCAGGAGCAGATGCAGTTGGGTTTTTTTTCTAGGAGAAGCTCTTTGTAGCCAGCTGCTAAGAGGAGCTAAAAGCAGTCGCTTTATTCTGACCGAAAACTTTGTATGTAGGCTGCCAGATCACCTGAGAGTGAAGGCATTTTGTGAACCCTGCTTTTTACAGCAGGTGCATTAAAACGTGGGAAAAATGGAAGTGTAGACTTCTATTGCGTCTTTCTCAGGATTTCTGCTGCTACCTGGATAGCTACAGGCCACGATAGTGAGTGTTGCTGTCATTGGGTTCTTAAAGAACAGGAATATATTTTGTCTTCACATTCTTTTCCGACTGTTGTTCATGCATTCACATATGTGTACTTGACATCAACATGGACACTTGGGTTCTTGGAGTGTCTTTTCATTTGTGTGTGTGGTCTTTGTTTTGTATAAATGCCCCACGTAGGTATTGCCTTTGATGGGCTAATAGGCAAAGCCCTTCCCCTGTCACCCCACCCCCACCCCCAGCATGGTAGAAAGGTCATGGCTCTGGAGGCAGGCAATCCTGGGACCCACCCTTCCCACAACCACTTACTAGCCCAGTGACGTGGATTGGCCTTGTAGCTTAAGTGTGATAGATGGAGCAGTGAAAATATGTGCAAGATACAGCAGTGGCTTCAAAAGGGGTTAACTCTGGAAGATGTGATTTCTGATGGTGGTTTTGCAGGAAGAATAGAAGTTTTCGTGAAGTGAGGGAGAGGAATTTCAGGCATAAAGAATGTGTAATGTGCAAAGGCAATGAAGACAAGCAGGTTGGAACACAAAGGGTAGGTGGGAAGCAATGGGAGCAGACATTAGAAGCTTGCCTTGAAAGTAGGTAGAGGATTGGAGTGGCTTAGAGGCTTTTGCAATAGAGAGTGATCTACGGGAGTGGGCTAGGAGGTAAGGCTAGATTTAGGAGCTGTGTAGAAGGTAGAGTAGACAAGACTTGAATAAACAGCTTTTGATGCTTTGCTGTTAAATTTGGCTGCATCCATGAAAGACTTGGTTATTAACAAATGAGGAGTCTTGTAAAAATTGTCCACTCTTTTTTCCTATAAAAAATCATTTCAGCCCTGGCCAGGTGGCTCAGTTGGTTGGAGTGTTGTCCCACACACCAAAAGGTTTCAGGTTAGGTCCTGGTCAGGGAGCATATGGGAAGCAACTGACCCGACCCAACCGACTGATATTTCTCTCCCACTTCGATCTATCTTTATCTCTCTCTCTCTCTCTCTCTCCCCCCCCCTCCCTCCCTCTCTCCCTCCCTCCTTCCCTCCCTCTCTCCCTCCCCCCTCTCTCTTTCTCCCCCCTTTTTTCCTACCCTCCCTTCCTTCCTCTCCCCTCCCTTCCTCCTTCCCTCCCTCCTTTCCTCTCTCTCTAGGAATTAATGGAAACATATCCTCATGTGAGGATTAAAAAAAGTCATTTCAAAGAACAAGTTTTGTTTACACAAGGCATTTTCACATAAAGATCCTTATTCTGCACAGTATTACTGTGTTTTTTAAGCCTTTTAAAGCTGTTCTTGCAGTATAGGCAGCAAGTACTAACAAAGACACTGAGTTTTAGAAGCAGAAGACCCAGAAGAATCCCACTCTACTGCTTAGCACCAGAGGCGCCTTGGGCAGGGCATCTAAACTTTTCTAATGGTTCTTCGTAGTCATCTGTAAAATGCTTCTGAAATGTAAACCTATCCTGCTTACATACCTGAAGAGATGTGAAAAGTCTTAGATGCTACTAGCAGTTAGTGAGTGGGTTAAACCTGCAACTCTCCTTGCCCTCCTGCCCCATATTGTTTATTACATTGTTTTATCCTTAATTCATAGAAAGTACACTACGTATTAAACAATCACAAATTCCAAATCGGCTGACTCCAAAATAACAAGATTTCATCAGTTACAAAACCCTTTCAAGTGAATGATGATAGCTCATATATTGTAAAGGCTTGTCTGGTTTAGGAATCTCTTTCTATTGCAACATTTTTTGATCTTGGACTTGATCCTAAACTGTTTATACTAATGGTTAAGAGCACATGCATTGGACTCAAACTCACTTCAGCTATGAGTCTCAGGAGAAAACTCAGTTTTCTCATTGTTAAATAAAAATAAGAGCTGCCGAAACCGGTTTGGCTCAGTGGATAGAGCGTCAGCCTGCGGACTGAAAGGTCCCGGGTTCGATTCCGGTCAAGGGCATGTACCTGGGTTGCGGGCACATCCCCAGTGGGGGATGTGCAGGAGGCAGGTGGTCGATGTTTCTCTCTCATCGATGTTTCTAACTCTCTATCTCTCTCCCTTCCTCTCTGTAAAAAAATCAATAAAATATATTTTTTAAAAAATAGGAGCTATGTAGTTCAAGGGTCCAATGAGATGATGCATATAAAGGTCTTTGCATATAGAAAACCTGCAGTACATGTACTTGTATTTTGATACTAATGTTTGGTACATGGTTTGGAGTACAAGGCTTACCTTTCTGATGAACAGAAAAAGGGGTCTAATCTGAGTCGATTTCTATTAATTTGCTTATGAAAATAACTTCTTGCCTTATTTCTTTCTCTTCTGCACAGATTCAGTTTAAGGAGAAAGTGCTATGGACCGCTATTACCCTCTTTATTTTCTTGGTGTGCTGCCAGGTAAGCCCGATTTCCCGTTCCTGTATGGAGGTGGGGGTCAGAGAGGGCTGGAGACCTGTGCTGACTTCTTTTCTCTATGCTTGTTTCCAGATCCCCCTGTTTGGCATCATGTCTTCAGATTCTGCCGACCCTTTCTATTGGATAAGAGTGATCCTAGCCTCTAATAGAGGTAGAACTCTGGCTCTCTGTACCTCTTTCTGTACAGTGTGGGCTTGACTGACCTTCTTTAGTTAAATTACAGGCTTTGGCTTTATGTGGAGCTCAGAGAGTGTTTGGGAAGAATGTCAGTGTGCTGTGCTGAATAGCCTTAGTAAATGCCGAATTCAGCATCAAGGCATGTCATCATATTCAGAATTGCATCTGAATGCAGTATAAAACATGTAATATCAAGGTTGAGTATGTCGTAGAGAATAGGAAAAACTAGAATATTTTTTTAAACAACTGAAATAATGATATTTCTACCTGTCTTGTGTTTTGATAACCTTTAGAATATGTAATTTGTTTCTCAGCTGCATCTTTTTCATATCTATAGGTTACATCATTATATATATCAAAATATGTAACAGTGTTTTGTACACTCTAATTTCCTTGGGGGGGGATTTTGAACGTTTATGTCAGTATCACTTTCGATTAACCTATTTTTTAAATATAATATAATTCAAATAAAGTTTCAAATCAGTTGGAAGTATTTTAGCGTAATGGAAGTAGAAGTTTATTCACAACTAGATACAATTGTATAGGCATCCTTTTCAGACTCTGGAATTATTTGAATGTTAATCCTTTTTATTACCTGAGAAAGAGACAAACCTTTCTTATCTCTGTAAAACCAGAATAAATCTGTTTATGGTGAATTTAAATGTAGCTATCTGTTTAAAAGCCATGTGAAACAGAATAAGATGTGGTCTGGCCGACTGAATAGAATGAATTGAATTATACTGTAATCGTTGATATTTTGGGGTTATTTTCTAAATTAAATGCTGCTAGCAAACTGAAGCACACTAGTTTTGTGTAAGGGGTACACAGTCAGATTTTGCTCATTCATTTTCTTAATAATATGTTTTCCAAGCTAATATGGGCTGTGTTTTGCCTCCCCTGTCCTCAGGCACATTGATGGAGCTGGGTATCTCTCCCATTGTCACCTCCGGCCTCATCATGCAGCTCTTGGCTGGCGCCAAAATAATTGAAGTTGGTGACACCCCAAAAGACCGAGCCCTCTTCAATGGAGCCCAAAAGTGTAAGTGAGATTTTCAATGATGTTCAAATGTCAATAGTTGAGAATTTGAATTTGCTATAA